CTAACACCAAAAATAGGAACAAGTCAGTACCTATGACACCGAAATCCAAACCGACTACTTCGGCAAAGGCAACACAACCTCCTACGACCGTGGCACAACCGTAACCGTCTCAACCCCAGAAGAAACCTTCCACACGTACTCAGTCGACTGGACCTCCGAACGCATCGAGTGGCTCATAGATGGCGAGGTCGTGCGCACGCTCAAGTACGCCGACGCCGTCGATGGCACAAACTACCCCCAAACCCCCATGCGCATCCGCATCGGTATCTGGGCCGGCGGCGACCCAGATAACTCCGAGGGCACGATCGAGTGGGCCGGCGGCGAGACTGATTACACCGAAGGTCCTTTCACCATGTATGTTGAGTCGGTCGATATCATCAACTACAACCCGGCTTCGGCGTACAAGTACACCGATAAGACTGGTGACTACACGAGCATCAAAGCTACTAATGCTACAACGTCGACTAACCTGAGCTCGTCGAACTCGAGCTCGATTATTGCTTCGAGTAAGACTTCTGCTTCGGCGAAGGCTAGCTCGTCTTCGATTGCTTCCTCGTCCGCGTCCGCTTCTGCCGCGGCTTCTTCTACTAGCTTTGTCTCTGCTGCGCCGGCTTCGTACTATACTTCTATTTTTGCCATGGCTTTGGGATCTCTTGTTGCGGGCATGGTTCAATTCTAGATGGTTTTGTTGATCGTGTAATAGGTCTGGGTGGTTTGTTGGTGTGACCTGGTTTATACATATACGACTCGTTCTTGCTTTCCAGCCATTCCTTTTTGTGATATGCAAGAACGGTCCGCTGATTATACATATGAGGCTACAATGAAAGCCTGCTAGTACTCTACAAGTCAGAAATGCAGGCATAGCACATGATTATTGATTGTACGAATGTCCGACCGGGATGACAATACACCACATGGGTGTATATAATCAAATCAAATCCAGAATTTCCTGTTATCTTATGGATGCTGAATGAGAGAACGATATCCTTTAGGGCATCTTTGGTTGAAAGACTGGTGGTTTTCTATGTATGATGTTGGGACTGTTTGCTAGAACAATCTCTACTCAAGAGATTTCTACCAGTTCATATTTTAATTGGAATTTCAAAGTGGTCAATACCCTTAGTTCAATTGTGTAGCCCTGGAGGAATTGATAGATCCGACTACGTACATACACGAAGTTTTGTGCATATTGGCCATTACCCGTCCAACTATGTTGTACATGATCCAAAAAAAAAGAAAATTCCTCAACGGCACATATGATCAAAAATAAAAAAATAAATTGTTGTGCATCATCCGTGAATCGAACACGGGCCTCGTCGATGGCAACGACGAATTCTACCACTAGACCAATGATGCTAGTTGATGTGTGGAGATTCAGTGTGTGGCTATATGAGCGAATTGTGCAATCCTGTCTTACAAAGGACTCCACTCCAGGGCTATCTCTGTTGGATCTCATGTTGCTCAGTTCTTTAGGATCAACTAATAGCTAAAGTCATGGTGGGATACTTGAGTATCAAACTGAATGCTAGAATGAACTTGTATCATACTATCTAATATATTATTCCTGGGCTTTTAGTACTGTCCTCAAATCTTTTTTTTGGTACTGCTGTGCCCAAAGATATATATTAGGGATTGATTTCGATTATTCTTCATTCACTCTCATGAATAACTCCCGACGATACTCGTCCATACAAGATACATATTTAACAAACGGATGTACTGAAATGACTTTGATGAGATAAAGATGTAGTTGGTCATTAGGACATGAATAGATGAACAGATACCTCAAATGCAAGAGCAGACAGCCCCAGTGAAGAAAGGAAAAATAAGTAACAGGATGCAACAGAAATGCAACAGAAATGGTATATATAGAGAAATCATTGTTCATCAGTGTTCGGGGGAGCAGGGTTGACGATATTCGGTATCGCCGGAGAAAAAGGATGTTGATCATCAAAGTGGTCCAGCTCGCTTCCGTCACCACTGTACCCAATGCTATCGCGATTGTCATCAATGATGCGTCCGTACTCGAGGAGAAGAAGATAGAGATATATGTCAAGGTCTTCGTTGCGCAGCGCATGCTGCGCCCATTCCCGACTCTGAGATGCGATCACCTCAGCCTCAAAGTCATGCTTCTGGATGTACGGCTCGCTAATTGTAAATGCATCTACGGGTGATGCTTGTGGATCCAGACCGAGGAAGTAAGTCATTAATCCGTACAGGTCATCATAGCGATTGTCCATGGGGGCGAAGTGACGCCAGGGGAAGAGCCGGGAGTCATGCCATTCTCGGAAAATAGTTGCCTTGATCCCTAGGGATTTGCCGAGCTGAAAGGCACGCCACCGACCGGAGAAGCTGTGGCCGTCAATGTCAACGAGGTATTTTGCCTTAAACTGCTCGCTGAAATCTTTGGGCTCTTTGTATGTCCAAATATCGTTGTAGAAGGAGCAATCCGGGATGCAGCCCCAAGCTTCAGTGAAGCCGACATCGAAGTGGTCCAGTGAAAATTTGCTTGGTGAGAAGTTGGGGTAGGTACGATACTGCCCTAGGCTGGTCTCAGATAGGATGGAGACCGTCTCTGATCTCATGTCAGTGTTGTTGGTAATGTGCACAAAGCGTTGGCGGTGCATATGCTGCCAATTATCTGCAAGCTGGACACCCCCGGAGGTGACGCCGCGCCAGAGGAGAGTGTCCGCTTTGTCCTTCCACTCGTAGTCGTGTCGTGAATTGTACGTGTACCGTTTGTCGTCCATGAAATACATATTTGCAGGAAAAAGGATATCGTTGTTCACGCTAACCTTACACTCGCTGAAAACTGGGACCAGTTTCCTTGTGATAAGGTTGCTGGATGCTGAGAACAAAAACCCGTGGTTCTCCCCAAGAACGGGACCGACGGTGCAAAGATCAGAAGACGCAGTAAAGTTCGTAATAAACCCACCCGAGGGCGATTTGTATAGCTTATCGGCATCCTCTACAGTGAGATTGTCATTCCGAGCGGGAGAGTGAGGATCACAGGACTCCTTGGCGAATTCCATGTATAGCTTCCCAGCAATCGAGAACCAGGACGGGTCAACATGATCCTCGATGTTGGAACCTTCCTTAAATAGATATTCCATGCCTTGGGTGAATCGATCCTGCGCATCGCTGGGTAAGCTTCTGGTGAGGGCTTCGGTGCGGAGGTAGTCCTGGGTATCCTCAAATGAAACCATGACTCGCGGCTGATCCAGAATATTAAGCGCAATATCCATGTCTGGAAGATACTGAGCAATGCGTTTAATCGACTTTCGCAGTGTTTCAACTCTCCATCCTTCAATAGGGGAGTAAACAACCTTCTTATTGCGAATTTGCACACCCGCAATGCCGTCGCTGGATTGTAGCTTGGCTGCCATCTGTCGAATTTCCGCGGGAGGAACCGCCCAGAAAGGCCGCAGATCGCCAGTAATCTGCTGGAAATCGTCCACATTATGCGCCCTATTTTTGCGTGCGAACATGTACCATTCCTTAAAACCTGGAGGTGGGTGTCGTCCATATGTCTCACGATATTTGGCGACCGTTCGGCGGAAACTTGTCGAGCGACCATTATCGTACTCCTGCCATTGTCGGTTCGCCTCCTTCATCAGGTCGGCGATAGGGTGTTCATCGCGCGCATACTGTCCGAGCACGGGACTCGTTGTTGCGCCGAAGAGACTCAGATTAGGGAGGTGGATAACGGAGTTGTCGACGGCATGGGTGAGGAATAGGAGGTTGATAAAGCATATGGAGGTTACTGCGCAGGCTAATAGCAGGTAGAATAGCCTGCGACTCCGAGGGAATGAGTTGAGCATTGAGAATGGTTCCCGAAATCGGTTTCCAGCCGCACACTGAATTTCAACGATCTTGCAGGGATTCTTGAAAAGGCCAAGCACGAAGGCTATGAAAAGGAGGTGAAAAATGACATGCTGGTAATAAACACATAGGAGTTGAAAAGAGGGGAGAAAAGAAAAAGAAAAAAAGTCGGCATAACGCCCCTAAGCCCCTCAAGTCTCCAAAGCCTGTCCTAGGACGCCAAGCGTTGACAAACAAACCCCCATACATACACTAACCTTGGAATAGAGTTCTTGGCTGGTCTTTTTAAAATTACATACGGAAGAATAAAGATATTGTATTTTAGTTTACCTTGGAAGAGAACTATATAGGCCTACGGAGTACATTATAGTTCTATGAAATCCTTACAAGATTGTATAGAGTATGCAGATCGTCTTAAAAGGAGTTGATGATCAAAGAAGATCAAAGGAACGTGGCCGAGCAACCCGTGGATGTGTCCAATCAGGAACTGGGTGCAAGTGGCCGAGCGCATGGCCGAGCGCATGGCCGAGTCTTTGATTCGATTAATACTAATATGTTAGTATGTTACGGAGTACTTTTTTATGAACTATATCTTTTTCTTATTTATTATACAAATTAGAGAATAGATCAAGCAGTCTCCAATGTAAGGCGAAACGTGCTGGGGTCCATCGGAGAGTCTGCTCTGCATGGATTTGGACATTTTTAGTGGGTCTATGTATACAACGGCGGTTTGGTGGAGTGGTCTAACACGCTAGACTGTATGTACCGCTTGATCAGTGCCTATGTTGTATGATCTATTAACAAACTTCCCCTTCGTGAAATGTCCTTCAAGTTATCTACAACATAGCCCTTTCGAGGGCGTAGTCCAACCCTGCAACCGTCGCTATCTTTATTACTATCTTTGAGTTGGGTTCCACCGCCTTCCTGATTAGGGATACCATCATATTATGCCACTTCGTAGTAGACTCTCGTCACAGGTGGGGCGGTGAGACATCATTGACTAAGTTCTTATCTAAGCCAGGGCCTTTGAGGGCCTCAGGCAGAAACCCGCAGCTAAGAGCTGTCCATGCATGCGACTCTCACACCTTATCATTACAACTTCTTTCACGCGCATTATTTCTCCCATGCAGATGACGTGGCCAATGACTCCTCATGGGTGATTGTCCCATCCGAAAATTATGGCCCTGAAACGTACTCGCGCCGCGCTCGAGGCCGATCTTCAAGCAGAGCAATCCCCATACGCCTTTTATGGAACCCCGTTACCACCACTTGACGAGGGGGTTCGTGATGACGGGTCCTTTGTGCCAATATGGAAGCAGGAACTTAGGGACGAACATGGGAGCAAACGTCTTCATGGCGCTTTCACCGGTGGATTCAGCGCGGGGTGAGTAGCTCTCAAAATGATGACATTTTAAAGGACAACCACTTACGTCTGCTAGGTACTTCAACTCTGTCGGCTCGAAGGAAGGATGGACCCCTGCGGCTTTTGTCTCATCTCGCCAGAACCGTGCCAAGAAGGCCGAACAGCAACGACCCGAGGATTTTATGGACGCGGATGACCTGCGAGAACAGGAAGAAGCCAGGCAACTACAGACTGCCGATGAATTCGCCGGTTTTGGCTCGACCGAGCTAGATGCTACACGCAGAGCAGGACTCATGGATATATTGAAAACCGGCGGAGAAACCATGGGAGTGAAGCTCTTGAAAAAGATGGGTTGGCGAGAAGGTCAAGGGATCGGGCCTAAGGTGCGACGCAAAGCCAATCTGGATGAAAGCTCTGCTCCAGGTGGTGATGCGGAGGAAACATACCTTTTTGCTCCCGAAAACCCACCTATGGTTGCCTTCATTCGCAAGACCGACCGCAAAGGTCTTGGCTTCGAGGGCGAATCGCGCCTAGAGTCTCACAATGCTTTGCAGCCCATCCCAGATGTTGAGGAATCAGATTCTTTCTTTGGGGGGCGATTGGCCATTCAAGGGAAAGGTCCCACAAAGCCGAAGGAATCACGACGGGGAGGACTTGGGGTTGGCCCTCTCAATGACACTGGGTCGGACGACGAGGATCCTTATTCTCTAGGTCCACAGATCTCATATAACAAGACAATTGGAGGTGATAAGAAGAAGAAGAAAAAGGTCAAACCGGAACCAACAATCGCGTCATCCAACCCACTATTGAATTCAAAGCCTGTGTTCATATCGAAGAAGGTAGCGGCATCACGCGGGATTGGAGGTTTCAGAAAGTGCCGTGACGGACGCCTCCCGCTAGATGGATTCATTCTTGCTGATGGAATGACGGGACTGTCAATTTCAGAGAAGAAATACGATCCTCCTGTGATACCGGAAAACTGGAAACCAGCGAAGGAACTTTCGTCAGAAAAACGAGATCAATCGACTTATGTCTCTACAGCTGACGCCGCAAAAGCCTCGTCGCTTAATCCCACGTCTAGAGCAGCACTTCTGGGCGAGGCTCAACTGCCTGGGAAGTCTATTTTTGATTACATGACCCCTGAGGCACGAGATAAGATCGCCAAACTTACCGGCAACGCCAATTTACCTCCGGCTTTAGGAGAAAAAGCACCCGAAGGATACAAACTTCCCGAATCACAAAGGCGCAAGGATCTTTGGGACCTCGTGCCCAAACTCGACAAACAAATTGCCGCCCAAGCCCTAGCTCGGGCCGTTAGTGGGTGGATGCCTTACCAGGAAGATGAGAAAAAGCGTGCACGCTACCAAATATTCCTTGAAGTTAGTGCTGGGACTCGCTCTACCCTCCCAGAACGGGTGGAAGGGTCTAGCACCGATGACTGGGTTATAGAGATGCAAGAATTTGGCCGAGCTGCAGAGGTCTTCAAACCCATGTCCGGAGTTATGGCATCCCGATTTACCTCCTCGTCCACCGCGCCCAAGCTTGTCTCAGATGCCCCTGACTCTGCAGAATCTGGGCTTAGTAGACCCGCTGAAAAGCCAGACGATCCTGCAGTAGCAGCTGCCAAAATTGGCATGTTCGGCCCAATGACCCGAAGCACAACCCCCTTTTACCCATCTCGTCTTCTATGCAAGCGTTTCAACGTCAAACCACCGGAGAATGTGCAACTTGACCCCGGCGAACGGCCTGGGGCCTCCAGTTCTGGACCTGGCACGCGCTTCCAGTCCGCCGGATTCCAAGCCGATACCGGGCCCAAGCCATTAGTGTCGCAGGATATCATGAACCAACTTCTCATAGACTCGTTAGGCTATCTCCCCACAGCAGATGGCCTTGATCCATCTGCAAGTGGTCAGCCTGCTATTGCTGCACCACCCCCGGTAGTTGTTGAACCTGAGCGCAATGATGCCCTGGAGGCAGAGCGGCCCGGCGATGCTGTTTTTAAAGCTATCTTTGGAAGTGATGACGAAGATGATTAGAATTGGGCTCATTTTGTATAATTCAATAAGAATCTATGTATTTTTTTTAGTTATACCCCTGTACCTGTACGAATTAAACAATTGTGCTCTGTAGATCATTGTGTGACTGTTGGAGTCGTCCCATCGGCATTGGACGGGGCGAATGGGGGAAATTGTGGAATGTACCCTTGTTTCTCTCTGGTTTCTGTTTCTGTTTCTGTTTCTGTTTCATTTTCATTTTCATTTTTCATTTTTCATTTTCTATTCCTTTTCCTTTTGATAGCTCCCTCCTTTTGCCGTCTCTTATCCAGTAGGTCTGTGCTCACTCAGCCTTAGGGATCTACGTTCGCTTTCGAGCGTTGACCACTACTCCACGCAAGCCCCTCTCAAAACTGCTTCCCCTCCTCATATGGAGCTCCTTGATCGCAAGCAAGATGGTAAGAATCCGACCCCGACTCCAAACCCCAGAACCTATACATATATCATCATCATTAAGACTGGTGACGTTGCTTGGCATCGCATGTCACACGACCTAAAGCCCCAACTCTCATCTCCATACTATCCAAACCCATAATGGCCCCATAACCATAACTAACCACCCCCACTTCAATACAGGGCTGTTGCGTGTCACTGTTGTCGCGTAATGTCGACAATCAACCCCACACCCAAGAACGCTCCTCACAATCAACAGCTACTAGGGTTACCAGCGACCGCTCCACGCAACCAAGGCTACGAACGCGGCGTGCCCCAAATCTCCCTCTAAATGAGCATTATAACGAGCCAGTGCGCAACTATGTGTGGCGCAGCAAGCGACGGACCTGGACGCGCGCGCAGCTGGACCGCGAGCGTGCCGAGTTCTTCGAGACGCGCGTTACCGGCAGGCCGGAGATCTGGGCCGCTATTTCGACGGTGATATCGCTGATTCGCAGCGGCGACTTGGCTACTGCGCAGAGTATTCTTGATGCTGCAGGCGTTACTGTTCCCACCGGGAATATTTGTGAGGGCTGTTACGATGAACAGGGTGTGCTCTACAGGGTTCCGCAATGTGTTGCGAGTGATCCGGAGAATATGATTCCTTCGTCTTCGCGGACGGCTAGTGAAGATGGTGGTCCTGCCGGATATGAGGAGGAGCAGGATACTGGGGCCCTCTCAGATGGTAAGCTCGCTACGGATGATGCTTCCGGGGACGAGTTGATTTCGCAGGATGTTGAACGCCGCCGCGAGGAGAAAGGCAAGACGAGTGAGCGGGATTTGATCCGTGTGCGTGCTCGTTTGAGTGATCGTGGAGGTCCGGATATCCTGCTTTCTATTGATAAGGGTCAGACTGTGGGATTTCTGGCAAGGAAAGTGCATCAGGAAGCCAAGGTTGGTTTTTGTCCTTGATTTGTTCGTTTCGTTTTGTGGATTATTGCTGATTTGTTGTTTAGCTCAAGGATGATAGGCGCGTTCGAATCGCTTACCTAGGTCACTTGCTCCATGAGCGTGAACCACTCGTTGATCAGGGGTGGAAGACTGGGCATGTTGTCAATGCTTTAGTTGTTTCCCCCGTCCATGATCTAGGCCTTGGACACTGACCCTAGGAGTGTTGCGGAGCTCTTTGAGGCATCGCCAATGGCCCACCACCAAAATCACTCTTTTTCACTCCTTCTATTTGAACCTCTAGCGTTCTGGCGTTTCTGTCATCTGATCTCTTTTCGCATAATACCCCGAGTCATTTTATTTACGTTTTCCCCCAATTACCACCTGACAGATAATCTTCTTGCACCCATCTTCTCTTTACTTTGGCATGATATCTCACGTGGGGATATTCATACTCGAGTGAAAGCAAACCGGCTTTCAACGTCATATCATCGCCCTTCCTGTCAAATTTTGTACATCTAATTACTTGATCTACTTATGACGATGCAATATCTCCATTCCTCCAACGTTGTTGTGTGATATTATTATGTAAACCAAGGCTAAATACCTAGGTAGGTACATAGAGGTCATGCACAACCATAATAAGTGTCTCAAGCTACTCTACAACATTTGACATATCTGCTCAAGCTCCGATGATTATTTTAGTCAGTTATTTACGAATGACCCCCTCGTGATCGACACATGCAAGATATCACGTGCCATGACGTACGTGGAGTACATGTTCATCATAACCCCAAACCTCCTTTGGCACGCATTGGATAGCTCTCTCACCCCCGCGTGTTAATATCCCACATTCTCTGGTGGCTTGGGGTTATGGACAACCCATATAGCCATAATATGAACTACGAGGCAGATCGTCAGACACGCGAAGTATATCGATATTTCCAACCAGAAAATCCAGCGGCGCTTAATGCTTCACTTCTTCAATTTGATGACCATGTGGCCTCAATAGCAGATTTTCCAAGAGTAACAACCCCCTTTGCACCCGATGCCTCGGAGTCAGAGGCAAGTTTTGCTGAAGGCAGCTCTCCATCAAGTCCAAATACAACTTTGACTTCTTTTGCACAGCTGGCTGCTCTACGCTTGAACGCACAGCGTGCTTTTATTACGTGAGTTACTCTCTTCTTATAGCGTGGACCCTGATCTGACCTTTTCCAAAGTATATTAAACATCGACTCTCAGTTTATATTGGCTGAAGCCACAAGAAACACCAACCTTAGAAGCTCAAATTCATCTGTCGGAGAAGGAGACACACTCTTCGCGGGAACATCAACATTGTCAGATGCTTGGAATATATGCCAGGTAAGCCGATCTTTGAAATATTATGATATTTTGCATATTGACGCTTATTTCGTCGAATAGGAAACAGTTGCAATTGGTTCAGACAACGAAGATGGATTGTATTCATTTTTGGTCGTCAACGATCTTCACAAGGAAGAACGATTCAAAGGATTGCCTTTTGTGACAAAAGAGCCACACTCTCGTTTTTATGCCGGCACGCCTCTGACCAGCGATAGTGGTATCAATTTGGGATGCTTGTTTGTATTGGATTCTGAGCCCCGTCAAGGGCTATCCGATATTGAGAAGGATACATTAGGCAAAGTTGCAGAGTTGGTGATGGACTATTTATTGGTTAGCCGTCAAGCCGCAGAAGGACGACGGGCCTCGCGGTTATCGCGTGGTCTCCATCTTTTCGTCGACGGCAACTCCAGTTTTGCCAGAAACACTCACATGTCATCTCGGTCGAACAGCTCAGCACAGAGTTTGTCCCCGCGGGCATCACCTCACCTCAGAGCCAGCCGATCTACAAGCTCCCAGAATGATGAACTAAAATTTCGATCAGCACGCTCTGGATCAGTAAATGCGTCTCAAAGTGGCGGTCCACAAAACTTGGGTCCAGATTATAACCAGAATGACACATGTGTCCCCCCTAGTCCAACAGCATCGTTGCACAGCTCGCGAGTGGACGAGAGTGGTTCGGAGGACTCCTCCAGCAGCAACCATTGGCTTTTTCAACGTGCTGCGAACCTCTTGCGACAAAGTCTGGACTTGGACGGTGCTGGCGGTGTCATGTTTTTGGAGACCGGTGATAACTCCTCCGAGTATGTCGCAGCTGATCATTGTGACTCCGCTGAATCCATAAATCCTGCTCCTATTCTTGCTCTATCCACCAGAGATGATCCGTTTTCATACCAGGCAAGCTCTACACTGTCAGATCCAGCTGTCAACCTCGACAATGGGTTCCTGAGAGAGTTGACGCGGCGCTATCCTAAAGGAAAACTCTGGTCATTCCACCACGATGGGACATTTTCAACTTCGGAAGATCAGTTAACCGACGAGTCTCAGAAACAAAGGAAGAAGTCCAAGGCTTCGGAGACCAGCAAATTGAATGAGTTCTTCCCTCATGCATCTCAAATTATGTTTGTCCCGCTCTGGAATGCCACAGATACCCAGTGGTTCGCTGGATGCTTTTGTTGGACTTCCCAGCCAACACAAGTTTTCAGTCCTGTTGTTGATCTGAGCTCAGTATTTGCCTTCGGATCCTCTATTATGACCGAATACAGCCGTGTTGAATCAGTTATCGCAGACCGCCAAAAGGGTGATTTTATAAGCAGCATTTCTCATGAATTACGCAGCCCGTTGCATGGTGTTTTGGCTGCTGCTGAGTTTTTTGGGGGTACCACCTTGGACCAGTTCCAGGAGACCCTCCTCGATACGATAAATGCATGTGGTCGAACTCTCTTGGATACAATGAACCAAGTTTTAGACTTCAGCAAAATCATGTCATTGGAAAGACACAAGAAAACCTTCAGGCGTGGGAAAGATCCGTGGAAACCAAAACCCTCCGAGGAAAATGTGGCGCGCCTAGATACATTGGTCTTGACAGATGTGGCTCTCTTGACAGAGGATGTTATAGACAGTGTGTGCTTGGGTCATTCCCATATACAGAGATCAGCCACGTCCACCAATCGCCCCACAGATATCTTGTCAACCCTCCCTTCCAAGCCAGCAAAAGATGGCAGCCAAGTTGGTCATATTTCAGGAGTGGACGTCGTTGTTGACATTGCTGATAATGACTGGATGTACAAAGTCCAACCGGGGTCGTTGAGACGCCTAATTATGAATATTCTTGGCAATGCACTGAAATATACCAAGAAGGGTCGAATCTCTGTCTGCATTGAGGCCACTGAGCGCTCAAAAGGTCGCTCTCGACGCCAAGGCCTCGAAGATATGGTGACTTTGACCATCTCAGACACGGGTAAGGGCATCTCGAAAGAATATCTTCAGAAGCACCTGTTCACCCCGTTCTCACAAGAAGATCCGCTGTCGGTAGGGACTGGTCTTGGTCTATCAATTGTTCGAGGGATTGTGAAAACTCTCAACGGGAAAATCAATGTTCGAAGTCGACAGGGTGAAGGCACTATTGTCAAGGTGTCGTTTCCTCTCGAACGTCTAGTTGGGGATGAAAATCCCCAATCAACGTCTCATAAGGAGAACTCGGACCAAAATATACCCACGGCATCTTCTCAACTCCGACGTATCGGCTGTAGTGGGAAACGTGCTGCTATATGGAGAGAACCGTCTCGTCTTGGTGACCATCAGTTCTGGGCGGCCATAGCCCGGTATATCACTGACTGGTATGGTCTACAGCTTGTCCCTCTGTCTACCAATGAGCCTATTGACATTCTGTTTGCGGATGAAAGGGATTTGTCTGCAAAAGAAATACACGATTTCCCGAAAGGATTACCAAATATGCTCGTCTTTTGCAGCGAGACAGGCGACTCTAGCGATTATAGGGCACAGTGGTCGCATCTTGCTGGCTCACTGGCAATTCTCCATCGACCTTGTGGTCCACGCAAACTTTCCCGTGGTATTTTGAGCTGCCTTGATACAAAGCCGACAATCACTACGCAGGATCACGGGCAAGGCTTAGAACTTCCAGAGCGACCCGCTCTTACAAGCTTGGCTCTACTAGTTGAAGAGTCCAACCCCTTATTACCAGGAAATCCACGATCACCAGATGCTGACCCATCAATTCCCATGTCTGCGTCCAGCAATCGCACCATTGGTCGTACAGAACATAGCGCTTTTGTGTTGACATCGTATACTGACAGCTCTGGTCGCACAATATCAGGGATTACTGATTCCACCAATCCTGTGTCTTCTTCATCTTTTCGATCTTCATATGGCGGCTCAGATCATGTCAGTACCTCATCTGGGAGCCAAAGAAGACCTCGTGTCTTGGTGGTCGATGACAACAACATCAACCTCCACTTGATGATGACTTTCATGAACAAACGAAAAGTCGTGGTCCTAGATAAAGCCGAGAATGGAAGAGCAGCTGTCGATGCGGTTGAAAGGATGTTGCAGGGATATGACCTTATTTTCATGGACATGTCCATGCCAGTTATGGACGGATTCGAGGCGACGCGTGCCATTCGTGCAATCGAGAAAGGACGGGATGGGTGTATTCCGGCAACAATCATCGCTTTGACAGGACTAAGCAGTTCACGCGATGAGTTCAGGGCCTTGGACTCAGGAGTGGATCTTTTCCTTATGAAGCCTGTTTCTTTCAAGGAAGTATCAAGGCTTATTGATGAATGGGAGGCCAAACAGCTGAAATAGAATATGGCAATCACTATCTTACTTGATACGGGCGTGGAGGATCACGTTAATGATCATGATTTCTTGCATTGGCATTTACGGTTTGTGTTCATACCATTCGTGCTCTTCGGGCAGCACATATGATGGATGATGATGGATGAAAGATGGATGATGGCGAGATTCGATTCATTATCTAAGTTTTTCTATTGCGCCCCTCTACAGCTTCAGGGGCGATTATATCTACACACAACGCTCTGTGGCGGTAAATTGGACGCCAGAATGGCTAATATTAATGCTACATTCAGCATCCTTTTCACTAAGCAGTTGATCGTCGAGATCATGATATTCGGACTGACTTTCACCAGGCGCTCATTGGGCATTTAGCATCGGCCGGCAGTTCTGGGGAGACTATGAGCATAATACTCCTATTTCGGTAAGTGGCCACCTATATCTCTCAATCTGAGATGTATGAAGAGCTGTATAAAGCAGATGCATAGACCACTGAGCCCTAATCGATGGCGTGAGTAAGCTCAAGCCTCTCCATCTAAGTTGAGCTGACAATGAATCGATGCACTGCTTGGCTGCTTGTCAAATATGTAGCCCATATATAATCAAGGATCATATTCCATCACTTTTCATAACTTCTCTCTCGGATCTGTATAGGTAACCGTTTTATTCAACTATTGCGGATGCTGCCTCGGGAGCCTCAGGGGCCTCAGGCTCTGTATTAGATTAGCTAAGCACAGATATGGAGCTTCTGGACAAACAGTGCAAACAACTCTATCGCAAAGAAAAAAAATAATTTATCGCAATCTTCGATCTGGGTTTTGAATCAAGACAGTTCGATAGTCTCGAACTTTTGATTGAACTCAACTCAATTGCATTACCTTCTAAGGGTAGTCTCTGTATACCTTCACTGAGAACAACGACCACCTCCACCTTGATATCCAAGCTTTCCAATCGCTAGTCTTCTCAGTCCTTGAGATAAAACCGTACCAATGGACGGCCAAAAAACTCCCTTCGTGAGGGAGCTCGGCTCGAGTGGTATGAAAATCCTTTTTTGCCCAATTGGAAAATCATAACGCTAATCGATCTCATTAGACCGCAAAGTCCGCGACAAGGCTCTCGAGTCTTTAACCAAATTCGTGCAGTCTCGCACCGATCTGACCCTCGTGGATCTCCTCAAACTGTGGAAGGGCCTGTTCTACTGTACGCACTACTTCTATATTGGCCAAACATAAATCGCAACAAAAACTAACCTTCGCCCAGGCTTCTACCACTCCGACCGACCCCTCACACAACAAGCCCTCGCCCGCGCACTCTCCTACTCTCTCGTCCCCTCCCTCCCCCAAGCAACTCTCCACCGCTTCCTGCGCGCCTTCTGGATCACCATCGGCCGGGATTACCACTCACTAGACCGCATCCGACTGGACAAGTACCTGATGCTGATCCGTTTCTATGTCGGCGTTGCATTCGAAGTCCTCTTGAAGAACAAGACCTCAACAAAGAACGCAGATGGGAAAAAGCGCAAGCGCGAAGACGCAAAGCAGGGCCGCGGCAAGAAGCAGAAGAAGCAGGCCGAGGCCGAGACCGTCGAAGATGAGGAGGAGAAGGACAGTGCCGAAGACGCCGAGGCGAAATTCCCCGATCTCGCGGCTTATATCTCCATTATCGAGGAGGGTCCTTTGTGTCCGTTGAACTATGATGAGGATCAAGCTCCGGATGAGGGAGACCCAAATTACGTGCCTATGCCGCATGGTCCTGACGGACTGCGTTACCATCTTATTGACATCTGGGTTGATGAGTTGGAGAAGGTTCTTGAGTTTGAGGAGGTGGCTGGTGATGAGGATGACGAGACTCCGAAGCGGAAGATCAAGGGCGATGTGCCCATTGAGCTTATTCTGAGACCGTTGGAGAAGCTGCGCGCCGAAAGTGCCTACAAGCCAGTTCGGACAAGGGCGGCTGAGGCTCTGGAGGACGAGCGTTTGTTCGAGTGGGGTGTTCGGACAAGAAAGTCTGAGGAGGAAGATGACAGCGAGGAGGAATGGGGTGGCTTCGATTGAATATTCTAGTTATAGTATGTGAACAGGATTTCCATAAACAGACTGAATTCATTGCACAGCGTGCTAGCGATTATGTCCATCAGTCCACCTTGAGTTCTATAAAAAGATGCTGATGCTAGGCTTACAGGTGTAAAGGACTACAAATTTATTCACAGGTCTCCTGTTTCATTTGATTTACTGTACAGCCTGATCACAGAATATCAAATGTCTAATGCGACTTATCGACAAAGCACCAATTCTTTGCGCTAGGGTATCATGGGTGGATGCAAAGACCCGGCAAGCAGTGGATATATATAAAGCGGACTTCCAACAATGAAAGAACGGACGGTAGCCAATGGTGACTTTCGTCCAAGAGGCGGATTGAAGGCACGATTTAGGGGGGACCTGCCGCCTCATAGGAACGGCCCGATTTGGTGAGTATCGTTCCCAGTCCCTGGTGGACCTCGGCTTGGAACGCTTCAAAAGGCACCCGTTCACCATCAATACTGATGTAACCCTCCTTCTGGTGGGGAACTAGACGGAACGCAGACGCTTTGCGGACATTCAGGTCTGGCATGTCGAAAAAGCGACCAGTAGGGATTTCGTTCATCATGGAAATCGCTGTACCACGACTGACTGTTCCGTCGATAGTGATCACGTCCATCAGGCCGTCGTCCGGCAACGTTGCAGGGAACATATTTGTGTCTTTCGACATGATGGCCATATTTCCCGCGTAGAAATTGCCCATAGTTTCTCCCGAAACCACCTCCCACCCCTGGGGCAGCTCGTCCGTTACTGTGCCGTACTTCAGCTCTGGTAGGCCTGGAGACTCTGCAGCAATTTCAAGGCGTTTGCTGTCGGCATCCGGCTCCTGTGGGCGTGTAGACCACGCAGCGTAGTGTTTCTTAATTCCCTCCTTGTCACCAATTTCCACCTTGATGGCTATATCACAAGGCCATATCGTCTGCCGTATCAAACGAACCAAAAATCCGTATGTAAACCGCTGAGCGCCCATCCAGCGGATGTTCTCAGTAGCCAAATCACACTCGGCGACGATGCCAAAAGATTGCGAGAGGAAAGAGAGCGTGCGCGAGTCTTTCTGGGTGATCGAGATTAGGTCCAGCGGGGTTCTCAGCCCCTTGACGATTGCCAGCGCCGCAATCGAGACGCTACCAGTCCCGAAAGCATTCCACGTCAAACCGTTTCCAGAGCCACATGGGAGCAGTGCAATGGCGGTTTGCGCTAGCGCTTTTCGAGCATCTGGCCGCTTGCCCAACCCATTGAACACCTCGTAGGGCAAGCCGTCACCAGAGCAGCAAACGACCGCATCGTAGGCGTCGATATCAAGGTTTTCGGCAATTTCAATTCCATGTCCCCTGTATTCCGTGGTCTGTACATCCACCTGACACTTCGCCGCGGCGAAGACCGGTGCCGCATATCGCTGATACAAACTCGCAGCTGTCCCCTTTCCACCAAAAGGATTGACCAATATCTTCAACCGTTTGCCGCGCAGTGCCTTTGCATAAGCCCTATCAAGTAGTTGCCGCACCCATGTCTCGACAGCCTTTTTTTCTTTTTCGGAGATTGGGTACTGGACGGTCGTTACGGAAATATTGTCCTTGCTAGCAGGCTGTGCATAGGCAATGACGATATTGGAAGCGGTGGTTTCGGCGCCGAGGATGTTGTATAACGAGATGGCATGGTTGGTTTCTGGTTCTAAAATGCGCGCAAAGCTCGGTCAGACGATTTCGATTGAAACAGTAGTAGCGCCGCGATAACGCGGCGACCACCAGAGGGGCCAGGGCCAACTTACTAGACTGGAGCAATCCGCAGCAGCGACGATCTGATTTAGCCGGGCGGTCATCTGCATGGGTGAGCATGTGTCTCCGCGCCGGGTGTGGAGTAGTCCATACCAAGTATGAGGAGCAAGTCGCCGCTGATGGTCAAAGAGACAGATTCGTCAACAATTAGCGCTGTGTCAAGCAGCTCCTGTGGGTCGTCTGGGGAGGACATTTTGGATAAAGATGGAGATTCAGTAGATTATAGATAGAGAGGAATAAAAGAATCTAGAGGAAGGAAGGTCAATGATAGAACAATGGAAGTGCTGATATGCAGCCGCGGAGTTCCGGTGGACCCGTGTGGTCCCTGCATAAAATATGACAACTTGAATATACAGTCCTGTATGGAGTAGAATATATATGATATATTATACATATATATATATATATATATATATATATATATATATATATATATATATATATATATATATATATATATATATATATATATATATATATATATATATATATATATATATATATATATATATATATATATATATATATATATATATATATATATATATATATATATATATATATATATATATATATATATATATATATATATATATATATATATATATATATATATATATATATATATATATATATATATATATATATATATATATATATATATATATATATATATATATATATATATATATATATATATATATATATATATATATATATATATATATATATATATATATATATATATATATATATATATATATATATATATATATATATATATATATATATATATATATATATGTATATGTTTTCTAGAAATAGTCAAGATATTGTTATGTATGAGCTACTATAATACTTAATACCCTGGAAATATCAAAGACGTTGTTCTCTATCCACTACTCCTGATGAGACATTCATCTCATCTACATAATAAAAGAGACATATAAGTAAACAAATTCGTCTCGAATGAACAGAACAGTAAGTTAAGAAGTAAGGGGGAAAAGGATAAAAAGCATCATATAGACCGCAAACCGCTGGAAAAAACATTGACTTATGCAGTCGCTGCCTTGAGACCCTTCAGAGAGCCCAAGCTCAGTGCCAGACCCTGGGAGCGACTTCTTATCCGCACAAATCCTGTAATTGGCCCATCATCTCC